TTATGTGATTCTGCCTTATTATGAAATCACGTAGTCTAATGGGAGGAGAGAAATTGATTCAGTTTCAGATGAATTTTTTTTGGTCTGGTTGTAATTAGAATGATGTGCCTACTCAGCTGCTTGTCTGTATTAGACTTATGTTTTTTCCTTGATAAAATCTGTAGGTACAGACAACTACAAATACATTAAATTGGATCATTCTATCATAAAGTTGTGTAATTTAAGAACTGAAGCCACTGATGAAAACTGATGTCTGGAACAATTATCTAGGTCTCTACAATTATACTACATATTTACGTATGTTATGTTTACATATGTTACAAAAAACTTTCTCATAGGCTTTTTCATTCAGGTTTTTTTTTTTTGTCATGCAGGCTTCATCAAGTGAAATCTCATTTTCCTCATGCTGTAGCACTTTTCTATAATCTGTCTCCCTTAGAATCTTTCCGATGGCATCTATTCATTTTCTCCGTAGATTTTTAAATTCTGTTGATTCTGAGTAATTTGCTTAATTAGCCCCAAACAATCTGTGTAATTATTCCAATCTGTGCTTCCCTCTCAGCTTTTGCCTGCAAGGCTGACAAATGGCAGAGGGGGAAAGGGCAGGTTCCCTCCGGTGGCTGCTGAGCCTTTGGTCCTCGCTTGGCTTCTTGCTGCCAGTTGTCTGAGTGAGTGGACTCCTTCTGAAGGAGCTGTGAGAGGATGATGAAAGTCTTATTTAGCTTAATTTAAGAAGTCAAAACAAATATCACTTGCGGCAAAAAGTTGCCTTATCTTATGATACAGGGCTTTTTAATGGTTACTTCAGTGTTCCCCAGCTTTTTATTGCTCTAGTATCAGTTTATCAATTCCCAGACTGTGTCAACTGGTGTAAGTTACTGTCTTTATTCCTGCAGGATTTAAGAAGTGCTCTAGTATCAGTTTATCAATTCCCAGACTGTGTCAACTGGTGTAAGTTACTGTCTTTATTCCTGCAGGATTTAAGAATAATGTTAAATTAGCTCGGGATTTTGGGTGTTTTGTATGAAATTTAGAGTGAATACTAACTGAATACTCTTCACATTTTGATGGTTGTTGACCTCTTTGCCTCCTGTGTTGGTTATGTTCCAGTTCTGAGATCAGACATATGGATATCCTATCACAGCTATATTGGCCTGCTAAAGCACAGCATAAATTGTACTGCTTATTTTTTATGTATTGTTTTTCTTACACATTCTAGGCTTTTCTGTTTTTCTGATAATAAAATGAAGAAAAATCTTTACCTTTCAACCTAGCCCATTCAGGTAAACATATAGTCAACTGCTGGCTGAAACGCTTGTTTGTTACGCACCTCCTCTAGACCACAAATGAAAAAATATTAATTAGATTAAAGAGAAGAGTGGAAAGCATTCTTAAATAAGAAAACATGCTTTTTAGAAGCTGGAGGCTTGCATTCAGTGCCATGACTAACGCGGGAATAGAGGCCTGCCTGTAGTGAATGTATTACTGTTTGTGTATTTAACATTAGCTCAGCATGGGAAAATTCTTCAACAAGAATACTTTAAAACTAACGTAGTGAAACCATATGCTTGAAGGCTGTTTGTAAGTGGAAATTACTATTTTGATATGGAGAGGCTGCGCTGTGATTACTGGGGGCATTCCCTTGTAGGCTGTACCTATTTGAGATCAATCCCTGATCTCTGCAGAGTGGAGTTGAGAAAAAGAGTGAAAAAGACTAGGAAAACAGTTTCCAGCTAATCTTCCAGGAAGATCATGTGAAAACATCCATATTATGGTTTTGCCTATTATTGAATATGGTAAAATGAAGAGAAGGACATTTTTCTTCCTTTGTGGAAGCTGAAAGGAAGAAGCTGTCATTCTTTACTACCAACCATCCTGTTTAAACTCCCCCAGAAAGAGATCATGGAAATGTAACTGCTTACATAAACTGTAACCTCCAAATCAGATCCTCATCACTCTTTTAACTGTGCGAGAGGATACAGTTGAACATATATGAACGACTCCTTACAGAAGCAGTTGACAGGAGAAATTGGGAAGTTCAAACAACTGTGTGACAGGCTTATCAAAAACTTTTGCCTTTTCTGTTCAGGAACAGATTTTTTTTTTTTCCTCTATCTGAAAATGAGCTCCAAGTTGGCATTTTCTGTCTGCTTTCCACTGCTGTCTTGGGTGTGAATGCAGCTGAAAATCAGAGTTGAGTTGGATGTGACTGTGGATGTTAGTACTGCTCCTCTCCTCCACAGATGTCCTGTGAGAAGATACAAATGCTGCGCTATGGGGAGTGAAGGACAGAGATAGGTTTACTGGAAAATGATCACCCTTTGGATAGAAGCTGAAGTCATTAGTTTACTGCAAATCACTTTTTAGGTCCTAAGTCATTTTCTTATAAACTTAAAACCTTTGTTCTGATAGAAAAGTTTACTTAAATGTAGACTTCACAGGAGAGTTTAAATTAGTATTAAAGTATAAATAATTTTTTTTTGTTTTAATCCTGAAATTGCTGTGCTTGATTATGATCTCTGTTACTTTGAACTCAGAGGTTTATGTCACTTACTGGTTGGGATGCTCACTGTGGAGGAGTTTGTAGGAGCAACCCTTCACTGTAGCCCTGGGCGGCTGCCGGGCAAGTCATCCCGTGAAGCCTGGTTTGCCAATGGCTGGACTTGCTTGGTCACGAAGTGATTTTGCAAGAGTTGTGCATCTCCCTCTTCTCTAAATAGGAGCCAGGGGGATGAGAGAGGGAAGCAGAACTGGCCATGAGAGTCAGCTGTTGGATGTTTGACAAGGGGTAATGGCTTCAAGTTGCGCCAGGGGAAGTTCAGGTTGGATATTAGGAAATATTTCTTTACTGAAAGGGTTGTCAGGCATTGGAATGGACTGCCCAGGGAGGTGGTGGAGTCACCGTCCCTGGAGGTATTTAAGAAACATGTAGACATGGCTCTTCAGGGTATGCTCTAGTGCCCAAGATTATTGGTTTGTGGTGGGATGTTGTGTGGGTGGGTGATGGTTTTGGTTTGGTTGTTGTTGTGTGTTTAGGGGGTGGGTGGTGGTTTGTTTTTTGTTTTGTTTTGTTTTGTTTTGTGGTTGGACTCGATGATCTCTGAGGTCCCTTCCAACCACTACAATTCTGTGATTCTGTTTACTAACTTGAGAAATTTTTTTATATTGGTGAGAGTAGCTGTGTTAAAAGTGAGCTGTTAAAAAAATTTGCTGATGAAATATTGATACAGAGTGGATAAAAATTAAGTTGTTAAACCAAACCTTTTCTACCTGTAGCTCTGTGTAAATGCCAGACAAACCTCTAGGATATATGAAAACTATTTAAGTTAATGTTTCAGAACGGATATGACCTTGCATGCACAACCTGAAGCAGTGAAAGGGTAGAATCCCCAGTATTTGAACCCCATGTAGAAGCTCAGCATTGAAAAAGGAAGCTTTCAAAATCCCTATAGTGACTCTAAGGAGTGAAGTCATTAATTTTTCTGACTAAATCTAAGTTGAAATGTATATTATGGATGCACAGGGGCTTCCAAGCTGTCAGTGTTACAGGTATTTTGGGGAAGATGTATTCATCATTAGAAGCAAAAGCAAATGAACACAACTCACTTCAGTAGTTTGTTGTATATAAGAGTATTCACAGAACTAGTATGAACAAAATGCACGGAGATTTTCTTTGATCCTGAGAAAAAGAGCAACTTTAAAATACACTGTGAATTAACAATATCATTAAGAGCTAGTTGCATTATTTAAAAACAGAAAACGAAAAGGTGTAGCAGCTGTTTAGTGCCACTTATTTTTAAGATGCATTACCTAGGTATTTTCTTCAATAACAAGTAACATTCAATTTTCCTTTCAAACAACAGAATATAACAATTAGAAGAACAAACCTGTTGTAGAAACAACGATAGCTACTTGAATGGGGCCATAATCAGTGAGTCAGTAGTGTTTATGCCCTTGCAGAATTTCTAGCTGTTCCAGTATTGTGAAGGAAATGATAAATATTTGGCCACTGTTTGGGGCCAGAATGAAATTGACCCATTCTACAACATTTGAATTGGTGTTGATATATGTAAAACTACTTCAGATAAGATAAGCAATGACATTGTAAAGATTTTTAAGGAAGCTGTCTAAATGAATAATTTCTGCTTCACATTCTAGTGTGATAATGGAGTAGTTAATTAAAGAGCAAAGAAGCAAAAGCTCTGGGCCTCCTGTTTTTCCTTGCTTCTTAGCTCTTGTGCCTTTTGTGCAACCCATGAAATTGCTTTTTCTTACAATACATGCATGCAATGCGTTCATTCTCCAGCAGCCTTCATCATCATCCTGCTATAGCTGTTGCTCCATCTTCTTTTTCTTTTTTGCTTCTAGCCTCTATGAATAATTTCCAGCCTTGTCTTCGGTTCTCTGCAGCTGACCGAAACTGGTTTTGCTGAGGACTTCAGTAAAGCTTTTATGGCTACACCTTAGAATAAATGAATCTCTGCTGTTGATCTTACTCTAACTAAGACTTATAATATCTGTTGCCATAAAACTCTCATCCTACTCCCATGGAAGCATTTGGGTTCGTGTGTGGGTTACAACAGAGAGGAGTGATGATCCTTAGTTTATAAAATATGTGAATTATTAGGGCATCCAGGATTATTTTCACTAATGTGTAACATATTATTTCATTCTTCTGGGGCCTCTATTAAGATGTAGAGGAAACTGGTTGAAGATTGCACAAAGGGTTGCAGTACTGCCAGTTTCTCTTGGGAGCTGACCTAAGTGTAATCTTCGTTATAAAATAGTATTATCAATGTGCAGCACTTACCATGTTACTTGTTGAACTAATGTAGTAAAAATATAACTAGCTATATGCCATCAGTGGGCTGTTTTCTAGATATTATTATATTTTTACTTGATTATCATACCAGAATTGGAAGGTCTGTGTAATTTTTTTAATGAATTAAAACTTCTTTCAGAATATCACTAATCATTTAAAAAATGTTCTTTGCCCACAGGGTGGAGTTCATTTCTTTTGTTCTTGGGAGCTGAGTAGGAGAAAGGGACATTTCAGCTTTTCTTGATAAAGGTAAGACAGCATCTGTTGATGAAGATAAGACAGTGTTCATTATTACGAGCTCATAGAAAGTTTGTCAATGGAGGGTTTGTTTATTTTGGTTTATTTTTTTCTAGTTCTGTGCTTTGTAGTAAGTTCAATGTGTGATAACATAACTTGTATTTGGAATGGAATGTGTAATTCTGCCACGGGTATCAGTAAAGGCTATGAAGATAAGAAAGTACCTGTAGATCAGCATGACAAAGTGAATAGCAATTTGTTCTACTGCTGGAACTTGTGTCATTTTCCATATGCCATAGAACTGGCCTGCCCAAGTTCACTCCATCACACTTGCACACATTTGTTGAAAAATCTTAAAAACAGTAGAGTTCTGTCCATGCCGCTTCTCAAAGAAAATATATAGGCTTGCCTGGTGCTGTCTGTACCACTCTGTATTGTCGTATGAGAGTGCAGAGGTTTGATGTGAGGAGAGAAAGGTCTTGAGATCTATTTTAATTCAGATATGCCTTGAAAAGTAAGCGGCAAATGCCTATCCCACTTCTGCTTGTCAGATGTAGGAGACAGAGAAGGGCATAAAACTCTGCAAGGCTTCTGAGAGGCATGGTTTCCTCAGTGTCTCTTGCTTTGTGTCTGATGTTTTATAAATTTTGTAGAATTTTGTAAACTCTGTAAAACCTGCAAGAAACATTTAAAGGCATAGTGTGCAACTTAGTGTTGACATCTTAATTGCAGTTTTTGACACAGAAATCAACATAGTCTTTCCTTATTTCCATTGGCAAATTTTGAAGCATTTTTCTAGGTAAGTTTGATATAACGACCGCAAAGAATGGGGTTGGTCTGGTTTAAGAGTTACCACATGTGCAGCAGATTGACCATCTGTGTATCCTTTGTGCAGTGCAATTCAGGTAGGGGTGCACAAGCCTGTTTCAATTTCTATTCAAAGGGGCTGGAATCCATACATGGTCATTTACCATTCCTCATCTGACAGAGGCTGTGGTCTCTAATTGAGGGTGGTAATGCATTTTAAGGAGCACAAGCTGGTCACTGCCTATTGTGTGACTATGTCTGCAGATCCACTTTTGACTTGTTCAGCATGTGTTTAACTGGATGGTAGTATGAAGGCTCCAGTTGTACGTTAACGTCCAGCTTATGAAGCGTGGCAAGACATAACCCTCCTTCTTGAAAGTTACATAGTTTGTAAAAAAGAAAGACTTAAAACTCTAACAAACTTGAAGAGAAATCAGATTTGCCAAGTCAGATATGTGTGTTTGTGCTGATGCAGCTGATTTTGAGGTTTTCTTTGTAAGCACTATACAACTCTTTTTGAGCAGTAATTTAAAGCAGCATAATCATGCCAGTATGTATGGATGCAGTTTTTAATCAATTTACAGATGCGTGTTGTTCTATGGCCTACTAGTTCAGGGAATGAGAAAGAACCATAATCACCTTCATACCCTTATGGTTGGGTTAGGTAGACATTAAGAGTTACATTGACTTCTTGCTTACCCAAAATATTTTAATTATATGTTTTGCTATAAAAATGTTCTTTTAAATTCTTTGACTGGTTTCTGAATTTAGGCATTAGCTTTGATCTCTTATCCACTGATAAATAAAAAAATCCCCTTATTCCCTTGAGTTCAGTAAAATCCTTTAAATTTATCCTGGTGCTGCTGTCCTTCCCCCACCCCTTGCGATGTGTGAAGCTGTTGCCAATCATTTTAAATGTTCACATTTTGTGATTTCTTTTTTAAAAAATTTTGACTCGGCATGCATAATCTCAAAAGTTAAATTGCTTTTGGATAGATTCTCAATCAGTCATTAAAGGAGAAAGAAATTTTCCTCCTGAAGTGGTACATCTCTTGGGGGACTTATGGACTCTTAGTGAAGGAATGTGTTCCAGTGTTGGATTGCTAAAGATGCAGGGGGGAAAATTGCTATGCTAACATACATGAAAATGTATTAATAATAATTTACAGATAAATTAATATGTCCTGAGCTTAATCTCATTCTGGCAAAACCCATGTTGAAGGAAATGAGAATTTACTGGGTTAGGATCTAATTCAGTCTATCTGATTATTATTTTTTTTCTTTCTTTCTTTTTTCCTCCCTTCTTCCCTGCACTGGAGCACTCATTTAAAGTAACAGCCTGAAATATTTAACAGTACTGTACCTACTGTGTTAATTTGAGGGTTAGAGGCAAGTAATTTTCTTCCTACCTTGTAAGACTCAGTTGTCTGTATAAAGCACGGTCCTCTGAGGAAATGCTGTTGCATTTTCTGAACGTTGAGCAGAAGTTATTCCTCCTTAGAGATTGCTCCATGCTTCTTGTGCATCCATTAAGCCTTGCTCAGCGATATATGTAATAGGCTAGATCCGACTCGCTGCACTTCTTAACTCTGTTTTGAAAAAATCAGTATGTTGAAGTCTCTAGGGTGTGTGGTTTCCCGTGGGTGCACGGACAAGCAGCAGCACTTTGCTTGCTCTGTGTTACCTTGTGGGAGTGGAAGAGCTAGGAGTTCACGCTTCAGTTTATCAGTACCCAGTAGAGTTTAAGAATCGCACTTAATGGCAGAAATTCCCAAATATAATCAGGGACAGATTCAGTTTCTGGCTGTGTTGACTCACTGCTTGTGTGTAGCTATGGGAGGAACTCGAGCTGTACAGGCAGGATCAGTTAATGGTATCACTGGGAAAAAAAACCCCATAGTTTGTGAGCTCCGATGCTTCCTCATATCATGACTACTTCTTCAGCTTAAATACGCTTGCAATGACTGCAGGCTTCATGAAGAAAAATACATTAACTGTGTTCCATGCCTCCTACCCACAGTCTGCTCTGAAAAGACTTCCCTTAAGTAGTAATTTAGCTTGATTTTCAACAGTATGCACTCCTGTATTGTGCACCGAAAGTTTAAGTCTGTAAATTTTGTCGTGCTCCAAGTTAACGTCATAGGCTGGGAAAACTCAGGTCCTCGAGAGAGGAGGCTGAGGGAGGAGAAAGGCCAGAAACTGTCCTTGGTCTTTCCCTATGTCTTCCCCTCCCAGTTTTGACAAATTGTAATTTTTTAAAATCACAACATAGTTCAAGTCTAAACCCAACAATCGTCACCATGTGCATCTTAATTCTTTCTTCCCTGACCGTTTTTTAAAATCAAGAAGCCCTTGGGGGAGCAGCACTCAGCTATTTGTCTGTTTTATGGCAGAGCATGTGCTTGCTCTGCTCAGTCTTCCCCCGAACAGAGGGCTGTGTCAGAAAGCAAATGCTGTCCCCAATAATAATATTTGCCTCAAAGGAGCTTGACCTGCTTTGTGATGGTTTTGGAAACAAAATGTGAGAATAAGTGTTACATCGCAAATGAATCAAGGAAAATAGGGTTGCTGTTTTCCTTAAATGTGAACAAGGTCTTTAATACTGCTGAAATGTTTGTTTTGCTGGGGGAGGTTAACTTTCCAGGAAGCTGGATGTTTTCTTGACTTGTTTATTTTGGATATTTCCACTAATTTATTGTAGTCTAATTATCAGAATATAAAGCCAGGCCTCTGAAACAGACAGTAACTGCAGTTGGAAAGATTCATTGTGATTATTCCATTAAGAGGGGAGAACTGAGTGGCATCTCTGTTTCTAGGAGAGAGCTGGCAGTGGAGTCACTGAGTCGGTGAAGCGTCTGATGGTTTGTGACTCGAGAACCATCCTTCAGTAACTGTTCTCGTGATTTCCAGTTTGTCAATGCATAACTTAGTTGCGCGTTGTAATGTAGAACAAATATCAACATAGCAAGGCTGGTTCTTGTAGAAAATTACACACAGGAACATCTTGTTACCTTTCCTGTTTCATATTCTAAAAAAAAAAAAGTAGTCCATTTCAGTTGACTTGTAAGCAATTTTCAGCTCGGAAAGGTGACTACTGTAAAACATAAATGCTGGGGAATGTATCTGGTTAAAATACACCTCTTTCCCACACTGCAGCTGATTTTTCTTTTGTGTCTGAAAGGCAATTAGCACAGAAGACGGAGGTTGGGGGAGGAGTGGATGTTGCTGAATGGAGTGGAACAGGTTACTCATTCTTTAGAATAGCCAGAAGGTAAATTCAAGTGCACTTGAAAAACCACGCTGGTAAAATACCCCATGTGTAGTTCAGGCTTTTAAATACAATGTTTACTATTGACTTTTATATTGGGTTGGAGAATGAATCAACTCCCGAGAATGCACTGGAAAAATACTCTGTGGAGGATGTTAAAAAGCGGCAGTGTAGGCTGTGGTGCTTTGCACTCTGCAGTCACTTACATACAAGTGTGTATGTGTGGTGTTTTCTGCATATTATATACATATAGGCTTTACTATGTACATATATCTATAATATTCTGTATACATATAGAACCTACACATAACCAGATATATATGCATATTTTTGCATACATATGCTTATATATGCATATATGTATGTATGCATATACACATGTGCATATATATATGTATATGCATTTCCTGCCTTCTGAGATATTTCTTGCATCACCAGCTTGAGAATCTCTGCACTAGTCCTTGTTACGCATGCACATACGTATATAGGCATACACATATATGTCTGTGCACGTGTATAAACATCTATATATGCACACACATTTATATGCTCACATATATATGTATATATGCATATATGTGCACACATATATATGTACACATGCACCCAAAACATGGCCTGGGAAGATCGTCTCCAAGGTTTTCCCTTCATATCCATCCACGGATACTCTCTCATCACCAGTACTAATTTGAAGGGAGTGATGTTTAATTTGACCAGGTGAGGAGGAGGCGACAGGAGTCGGTGAGGGAGTACAAGAACCTTGTTGACAACTGGATGACAGAATCCTCTGCTGGTAGGTGAGGTGCAGGGTTTGTGAAGTCAGGCTGAAATGGACCAACTTAACTCCGAGAGAATTTGGTACTTAAAGGGCTATTTTTTTTAAGCAGGAGAGGAAAAGGGACAGAAGGGGTTGATGGTAGATGCTAGACCTGTAAGG